TGTGAAACCGTCCACCGCGGCGGCAGATCGCGAAGAATACCTTCTAGACGCAGACCTGAGCCCATCAGCCACGAGCCGTCGGAGCGGGGGGGGGGCAGCCCTCCATAACTTACTGAACTCACTGGCCTCGGCACCAAGCAGGGCGAGGGGGTCAGATATCACCGCCCCCTCTCGGCTCAACGTGGTGGTCGGGGGTCCATGGCTGGCTGCCTCGAACGCGCCGATGGGCTCCCCCGGCGCCTTGATCGATGGATTGGAGGAGCCACGCTTCCCACTTAGACAGAGCCTGCGACTTGGCCTTAACGGCATAGGTTGCAACGTACTCCTCTAAGTCCGAAAGTACGGCTTCTCCAATCTTCAAGTCGAGCAAATCGCGCTGGCCTAAAAAATCTTGCACCCGCATGACTTGGCCAGCGTGGACATCCAGCCCATGCTTCAGAAAGGCAGGCGGCCCCAACATGAGCGCACGAACTTTCTGGGCCTGGGCGGATCCTAAAGCGACCGCGTCAAGCTGGAGGAGAAGCCTGAATTTGCTGACTAACCATTTTATGGAAAAAAGCTGGGGTTGCCGATGTGGGGCCTGTCTATCTTGCTCCAAAATTTTGGCCCACCTCTGCTGGGGCACCTTCCCCCTGCTCCCCCAACACGGAAGGGTGATTCGTCGGCCCCCGCAAGCTCCTTCTCCGCGGCGCCAGCCCAGTGCTTACAGAGGGCGCCGAGCTTGCACTGTACAACATGCGCATCGCCGCTCTGACAAGCATCTAGAGCTCGATCTGCTTCACTCTGGACAGAAGTCCAGGATGGCGGTGGCGGGCAGGGGCCGATGGGCGGCTCTGTCGGCAGCGGTGGCGGCTTCCGAAACACCAGCCCATGCAAGCTGTCCAACACCAGCGTGAAGCCGCACCTGCACTGGTAGGTGACTGACGATGTTAGAAGTGAGCACGGCTTCGACGCGTGATATACCATTGGCAAGGCCCGAGGTGACAATGAAATAATCGAGCATACTCGTGCCACACGTGCCGACCACATTCTTCGGGATAATCAACTGCGCGCACAACTTATTGACGATGCCAGAGGAAGCAAGCAGGCCAGGGCCCATGTCGAAATCAGCACCGATGATGGAGGCGAGGGCCACCTGCTCAACGACAGTGCCGATGTGCGCCACAAGCTCAACGTTAGCCTCCGAAAGCCCCCCGACGGCACGCATGCAGGTACTGCACACGAAAATCCCCCCCCCCCCTCCCTTCCCCAGGAACATGCACGATGGCGCCAATAGACCGATGCTGATCGATGAGGCGCCCTCCAGGGAGCGCATGGCACCCAAGAGAGTCCCTGACCAGGATGCCGACCCCCGAAGACGTACCACGCCCAATCCTTGGAGCAGCTGGCCCAATAACCGCTCTCCACCCATGCCGATTCGCCCATCCAATAGCCTCCGCGAGCTCAGGCCCCAGCAGATGGTGTTCTTGGATGAGTAGAATATGTGCTCCGCAATTGGGCAACCAAGCTTTGGGCCCACCTCCCGAGTCTGAGTGCCACGAGGTAACGTTGGCAGTCTGGATCACGAGCTCCAAATTAGATTATCCAGGGCTGGGCTCTGGGGCGCGCATCGGAAAAACTGCGATGCCTGGGCGCGTGAAAAAATCTTGCCCTGGCACGGCCTGTCGGTAGGCCGTGGGGCCCTCGGACCCGAAAAACTCCACCTGGTGGGCAGCTGGGCTGGATGGTAGCAAACAGCCTCGCGCGCGCCTTCCACGGGGCCACTTATCCAGGTGCGGTCCTTTAGGGTGGTCCGAGGTGGCCGCCGCAGCTTTAGCGAGAGTGCGCTCAACAGCTTGTGCCAAAGACTGAGACTGGCAGGAGACTGCCTGCAACCAGTCGAGGGAGTGTCCGACTCCGTCGACAGGAAATGAGTACGACCCGAAAAGTGAAGGCGTTCTGAGACCGTAGATTCCAAGAACATCACTGGCAAAAGGTGGGGACTGCCGCACCTGGCCCCCCGGGCCCACATACGCCCCCATGAGGCCTAGGGGGCAAGAATGGCCTGTTTGAGGCCTGGGCAAACAGACACTTTCGAGAGCGCTCATCAGCTGAACGCTGGGACTGGCCGGCACATGCTGCGACGGATACGCGGCCAGGCCACGCTGCGCCGCCCCCCCCCGCCCCAACGGGGGCGGGGGGAGGAGGGCGGATGGGCCTTATCTGCCTTGGCTCGCACATCGTCAGAAGCAGGTGGGGCTCCACCTCCACCTGTAGACTGCGGCTCAGCAGCAGCGGGCGTGGGCCCTGCCGCTGCGCCTGAGGGCTCAGCAGCCCCCTGTCCTTCAGCACGGGCTCCTTCAGCTGGTGCTAGGTCCTGGACAGGGACTGGCACTTCTTCTCCTCCTGCAGCGGCCCCACGATCCTCGCGCCGACGCTTGGCCGCAACCTTGTGAGATGTGCCCGCGGTGCGTCCCGAGCCGCCATGGCGGCTGCCACCAGTGGGCCCAGCAGGTCCTTGGCGAGCTTGGACACCCCTGAATTGAGATCGCCCTTCCGCTTGGCGATCTCGTCGCGGCCCT